CCCCCCCCCCTCACTGGGACACAGCGCCTCCCCCATCACAACGATGCTCGTGGTCACAGAGGCCCCTGCACACACACCTTTATTTGAGCGCTTCTCGCCCAGACTGCAGCTCTCTGCAGGGGCACTCCAATCTCTGCACTTTCCAGGCCCCCTCGCATGCCCGGGGAGACTGGCCTGGGGCCCGCCAGGCCTACTTCTGGCTCCTGGGCACCAGCCGCTCGGGGAGGAGGCTAGGCAGGTACCAGGGAGCAAAGCCATCCGCTGTCACAGAAATGGGGGTCTGGGGCATCCGTGGAGCTTGATGCTGAGCCTGGTGGCCCCAACCCCCCCAGGTCTGCAGCACCTGGCGGAGGACACGTTTCATGAGCCCTGCTGTTAGGCAGGGCTGGGCTCCACCTGCCCTCTGAAGAGGAGAGACAGGGCACAGGGCACAGGGACATAGCCCCTCTCTTTCCTTCCCAGGCCTCCTGCCCCAGGGGCCCCATGTCCAGCTCTGACCTCTGCCTCTGAGGCTCCGGGAAACTTCCCTGCCTGTCCAGAGCCTCAGAACCCCCTGGGGAGAGAAGGTGGGGCATAGGTCATTGCCCCCACGTTGCTGCCAAGGAAGTGCCCTGGTCTAAGGGCACGCAGAGCCAAGGCTAGACCCCTGTCTCGGGTGCACATTGCCTGACGCTGCAGGTTTGTACCCAGAGCTGACCACCACCTTCCCCTCTCACCCCCACCCCCTGCCTGACCCCAGAGACAGCGGGTCCAGACATTTACCATTCTCATCACAGCCTCCTGTCGCTCTTCAGTGCGTGGCTGAGGCCGGAAGAGATGCCGCAGTTAGAGTGGGGGAGGGGGACACCTGCAGGGGCCCCGAGTTGGGGGCAGCGGGACAAGAGGGGCTCAGGGCTACACCCCTTCACCCCAGTCAATGGATCAGTCTGAGTGGCAGACTCTATTACCTCCTTTTCCTACACCGGGCCAACCTCCCACTTGGAAAATCCTTCTGACAGCCAGACCTCTCCATCTTTACCACCCCTCTGTCTTGTCTTGATTTCCAGCACCTAGCCTCATCTAGCCCAGCAGGAGAGGCGGTGGCTTCTCCTCTTCTCCAGTCCTTGGGAGGACCCTCCTCATAACCTTACCTTTGACCTCCAGCCGGCAGGCCACAGATGCCTCCCCTAGCACACTGATGGCCTTGCAGGTGTAGAGCCCGGAGATCAAAGGGGCGGGGCTTCCGGATCTCCAGGGTGCAGACACCTTGCTCAGAGAGGGCGTGGTATTTGGGGTCACCCTGGATGTCCATTTTGGTTTTCATCCAGATTATCTTGGGCTAGAGGAGCATCGAGAGCAGAGGAGGGCTGGGATGGGCTTTGAAGGAGCTGCCTGCGTAGATTCAAACCACTGCCCCGCCCGCCCCCACCCCCACCAGGACATAGCAGGGCTTCACTCCTTCACCTTGGGCAGTGCTTGGACCCTGCAGAAGAGCTGAGTGCTGTAGCCCGGGGTGGAGGTGTGGTCAGCCAGGGACGGGGTAAATGAAGGGGCTTCTGAGAAGTCTTGCTCGACAAACCCTTTAGGCTTGGCAACGATATCTGGGTTCGGGAGAGAAAGGGGGGCAAATTCGAGGTTATAGGAGTAGATCTCTTAGAACTAACCCCATCCATTTTCCTAAAGTAATCACGATAGCTTACACTTAGGCGGCTCATTTAATCTGCATCGTGTCCCTCTGCCAGCGTGAGTGTGTTATCCCCATTTGACAGATGGGAAACTGAGGCCTTCATGGATGCGTGTCTTGCCTGATATCACTTGGCGAGCCTGGGGTTTAAAGGGTAGAAAATTACACGAGGACCATGGCTCTCTGATCAGAGAGCTGCTGGTCTGGAGAAGGATCTTAGCATCACAAGGGCAGGCGACAAGCCATTTCATGGCTGCCGTGGAATGAAGGAGCTCTGTGGCAGGGTCCCAGGCTCCTGTGATCTTGGAAGCCAGGGGTGGCCAACGTGTGGGAACGTAGAGCCCGAATGTCTCAAAGCGGCAGAGGAAAGCTGGGACCACGGCTGGGCGGGTCAGCGAGGGGACCGAGAGGGGAATGGGCAAGAAGACTGGATAGAGGAGAAGCTCTTGGCTGAGGCTGGGGACCTACAACCCAGAGATACCATATTTCATTTCTGTTGGTCTTGGGAGACCTGACTGGCTTTCCTTTTTTAAACAAACATTTCTTCCTAATTCTGTGTAGCTCGGGCCGGAGTTGAAAAGAGCGTGCCTTCCCAAGCCCACACAGACTCTGCATGGGGGTGGGGGGAGCTGGAGGTTACAGGGCGACAGGGAGAAAGGGCTTGGCATCTCACATTTGACTCAAACAGGCCGGGTGCCTGTGTGGAGACAGTAAATACCCCTCTCTTTCTTATCCGTCTCTGTGGTGTTGTATTAGGGTTGCGAGGCTTGTGTTTTAGCAAACTCACTGGACAATACCCGTCCACGCGCTCTGCCCTTCAGAGCAGTTGTCTTGGGACACTGCACATTAGCCCCAGTGACTGCTACGATGCCGGCAGCCACCAGCAACGGCAGAATAAGTGCACAGCCTCCCCAGGGGCGCATCTCGTCTGTTCCGATGTGTTTGTTAAAATCAATCAACTGCATGCATTTCTTTACAGCCGCTCGTGGGAATGCGTGAGTGCGTGCGGAGCTGTGGCAGGGGTGAGGAGAGGGAAGCCAACGTCCCAGCTCGCGGCCCCCACCAGAAGCCCGCAGGGAGGGACGCTGACACGCCAGGAAAGGCTGAGCCCGGCAGTCAGGCCTGGCTTGGTGCCTGCTCCCAGGCCCAGACCCACCTGCCTTCCGGATCCGGGCTGGCTCCTTGGTGACGGCAGCCAAGGTGCTGAGTCCACACAGGTTCTCCGAGAAGACCCGAAAGGAGTAGGCGTTTCCCACGATGAGGTCAGAGACAGTGCAGGTGGTCAGGTGGTAGCGCTCCAGCACCGTGAACCATTGCTGTGGGAACCCCAGCCCTGTCGTCCTCCCCTCTGACCCCTGCCCTTTCCCACCTGGCTCACCCTGCGGTCCCTTCCTCCGAGGGGCTCATTCCATGCCCTTTCCCTGGGGGCTGAACCATCCAGCTTTGGGAGAAGGGGTCCCTGGGGCACTCAGATGATCTCTCTGGGGTCCTCAGAGAATTCTGGATTTTTACCACTCCAGGGGTGGCCTGAGGACCTGCAAACTCAGTCACCTGGGAACTCCTTGGAAGTGCAGGATCTCAGTCCCCACCCCAGAGCCACTGAGTTAAAATCTACATTTTAGCGAGATTCCCAGGTGATTCATAGGCATAATTACATTTCCAGAAGCACTGCTCTAGACCTTGCAGGGCCTCAGAGAGTCACACACACACACACACACACACACACTCCTTGCAGTCTTCAGGAGGAAACTGAGGCCCAAGGAGGACAGGGATCTTGCTAAAAGCCACACGAGGAGTCAGGTTAGTGGCAGTTAGACTAGGACTTGGTCCCTGGACTCTTGGAGGGCTGGGCCTTCCTGGCCACCTTGGCCACTTCCCCCACCCCACTCGGCTCCAACAGGCCTCACCCCTTTTTGTCTGCCTTCTGCACCACGTAGCCTAGGAGCTCTGTGTTGCCTGGGTCCTGGGGCGGTGTCCACTCAAGGGCAACGTCGTAGCCCCAGACGTCCAGGAGCCAGATGCTGCTGGGGGGCCCAGGTTTCTCTGCGGGACCAGAGTGTGAAGAGGGAGTGAGGGGGGAAGGCTGGGCTTGCCACAACCCGCCCCCCCCCCCCCCCCCCCCCCCCAGCCAGGATCTGGCTCCTGTCATAGTCTCTGGTCTGATCCCTTCAGCTGTCAGCTCTGGGGTAGGAGGTGGGATATCTGGACTCCCAGCAAGTCAACTCTGCCTCCCCTGACCCGTACCAACCACCAGGATGTCAATGGCTGCCCTGGCCTCCGAATCTTCGAGATGCACAGTGAGCTCGTAGCGGCCTGAGTCGGAGCGCTGGGCCGAGGACGGAGTCCTGGTCCCCAGTGCACACGTGTACTCGCTGGCTGTCCAGGGCGTGGCCACTGTGGGTCCAAGAGGCCTGAGCCTTAGGACTTCCCCGGAAGGGAGGAGCTTTCGGGGCGGGTGCAGGAGGCTCCAGCACCCCCATACCCACTCAAGTCCAGGGATCCCTGGAGCCGTGCCCAGGGGAACCGGCTTCATCAGCCCTTCCCAGGAACGGCACCAGAAGTTGGAGACACACGTGCTGCTCACAGCCTCGTTCTCCAGGTGTCCAGCCAGCCCTGGGACCACCCGCCCTGTCCACCGGCTGGAGAGTCGCAAGAGTCCCGTGTACGACAGAGGGAGGGTGAAGCTATCGTGGTGGGTCTTAGGCCAACCTTCATGGGGATGACATGAAGCCTGACATCCCCTGGGCTTCTCTGACACATCTCAGATGGGGGCCCTGATTTCCGTCCAGGTCGTTATCCTGGGCAGGAGCCACACCTACCTGGAAGGGGATTTGCAGACTGACGGTCTCTCCCACCTGGCGGATGTAGGTCTGACGAAGATGGCAGGGGACGCGGATCTTGGGGGCCTCTGCGTCAAAGCGAGAGTTTAGGCTTAGCCCAGCAATAGGGTTGCAGGTTGGAGGCTACTGTGGCGGGGGTAGGAGACAACTGGTGAGGGTCACTGGCTGGGCAGGAGGGCTCCGAGGGGTGTTCTGGGGCTGCCTCCTTGGTGGGCAAGGCAAAGCTCACTGCTGGAGATCCATGGGCCCATATTCCCTAAGGTGCCTGGGGAATTGAGAACCAGGAGGTTCCAGGAGGGCAGGGCCTCCATGGTGTGAAACAGTAGGCATCCCGGGCACTCCCTTGGTGCCCTGACCTTGTCAGGCTGGGATTTGCCCTGCAGCCCAGGCATTCCTGGGCTCCAGATGGGTCCTGGCGGGCTCCTTAGCTCCCCCTAGTGGGGAGTCAGGTGTGGCACCTGTTGGCCTTCATTCCCAGGAAAGGCGTCAATGCCATCTTCCTCCGAATCCAGCACCTTCCTTCCATTCCACACCAGCCATGGGCCTCCAGAGAAGCCCCTCTGAAATTGATTTGCTCACTTCTCTGTCTCGAGGCCACATGGGAGGATTAGGAGCTTTCCCTTCTTAAATGAGGCCGGAGCAGACATACCCCCTTCTTTCTCCGTCACCCCTCTCACTGCCTTTCAGTCTTACAATTGGGAAATCCTTCCTGAAATCTTACTTCAGTCCCATGCCAGGGCAGGGAGCCACCTTCCTGACCGTCACCTAATCAGGTACAACCGTTAAAGCCACTGGGCATTCCAAGGGAGCCTGCAGCGGCCCCTGCCGTTGTACCCCCTGGGCGGGGCAGCAGTGGTGGTGGCCGGGGGCCCCTCAGCAGGAAACAGGTGGCAGCAGTTGGTGGGTGGCACACAGGCTGGAGGGGGAGGAGACGGTGGGAAGGAACACTGTGTCTCCGCGGATTAGCTGTGCAGGCACTTGGCTCTGGGAGCCTAAGGAGCAGAATGCTCCAGGGGCAGCTGCAGGGGGCCAGGAATGCTTGGCAGCTCCAGGTGGCTAAGAAGGGACAGCTGAGCAGCTGAGGATTCTGGACAAGGTCCCCACCCTGCCCTGCCCAGGAGGAGGGCCTGGCTGGTCCCTCTTTGTTCACGGCCTCCCCTTCCTCTTCTCTCCAGGAAATCCCCTCCTTGTCTGCCAGAGGAATGTTAATGGAGTCGTGGGTGCTGAGTGTGGCTGGCTCCTTCAGTGTCGTGCCTTGGAGCAGAGGGCCCAGGACCTGCACCCTCTCCGAGTCTGAGCTCCATGGGGCAGGTCCAGGAGCCTCCCAGCCAGGAGGGCTTCCTGGCACCTCCAGGCTAGAGTCAACGTGTCCATACTGTGGCTGCTAGGGCAGGGCCATGTCTCACACTCAGAGGATGGGAAGGTCCCAGAGAAGACTCCCTGATGCTTGGTGGCATGTGAACGGTCTTGTGTGGGAGTCAGGCTCTGGGATTGCCGCTATTGGGCTGGGTGACCTCGAGGGAGTCCCTGGGCTCCTTGGGACCTGCTTGGCTTAGATGGACCAGCTGTGACAATCTAGGATTCTGATCTCACCAGCCCCGTGGCCCCACATCTCTTGGGCCTTGAAGTCGAGAAGTATTTGCTTGAATCCAAACTTGACCCCTCCTGTGGCCATGAAGCTCACTCCTTTTTGGAGGGCTTGTCCAGAACTGTGGGGGAACACTGTCCCCCTGTGGGTGTGGGGGAACAAGAAGGAAGGCCACCTGCTGGCCTGTGTCTCTCTTCACGCTGGGCCCTGGGCTGTCTCCAGAGACCTCGGATCAGACCAAATGACTCACTGCCATTAACAGACTGAAACCTGAGCAGCTCTGGGAGGGGAGCAAGGGTAGGCTTGAGGCTAATGCACCCTGCAAATAGAAATCTTAGCAAGGGGACAGCAGCTGGCCTCCTAGGTCCCCAGTACACCGCTGCCCTCTGGGGATGGAGAAAACTTCCCAGGCCTTCTGCAGGCTCTCGTCTTCCTCCCACTGGGGACATGTTGGGATAAGAGGCAGATTAGATAGGAGGAAGAACAGGATGGCTCCTAGCATTGGGACCCTGAGGCAGGTGACTTGGGGAACTTGAGCTTTTAGTTCGGGGGGGGGGTCAGGAAGCCCTTCCCCCCCAACACTTGGGGGCTGGGCCACTCAGGGAAATAGCGTCTTTGACCTCCAGAGGCTTGCTGCTGAGGAACCTGGAACTTTCTTAAGGCAAGCTGGTGATAGCACGTGGCTTGTGCTCATGAGGGTGGGATGGGGGGGAGAGGACGGTCCTGTTTCCTTGGCCTGATGGCCTCAGTTTTCCTACCCGTTGGATGAGGTGCCTGGGAAGGGCTCGGGGAGCAGGAGACGAAAGGGTGGGCCTTACCGATCATCTTCTGGATGTGGACAGACTGCTCTAGCACAGCTGGCGGGCCGGCCCCCGCAGAGCTCACTGCAGCCACACGCGGGAAGAATTGGTCTCCTGGAGCCAGGTTCCGCACGGTCGGTCGGCTGGGTCACCATCATGGGCCGGGCATTCATGGGCACCCCCTCAGAGGCTGTGGCAAATGGGGAGCAGGCAAGGCCCCCGCTTCATGGCCATGGTCATCCTTCTCAGAGGGGCTTTCCTTTTCCCTGGTGATCTGGGGAAGTTGACCTCCCTCTCTGAGCCTCATTTCTTCCTTGCTCCCCTTCCCTGACTTGTCAAATGGCATCAAACACCCCTGGTGTTCGAGCCCTGGAATGGTGGCCAGAAAAGCCCAGAGAGGGTTGGACACGCTTGCCACGTCATGCAGCAATGTAGGGGCAAAGGCAGAAGCCAGGCTGAACTTGGCCACCGTGGAGGTGAACGGCACAGAGGCAGCAGGAATTGGGCCATTGCCCTGGTCCCCCGTTTCTCCTTATGGTCTCCTGCTCTCAACTGTCCCCTACTCCCTGCTTTTCTGGTCCCCACCTCTGGCTCGCCCTCCCCCAGCAGGGCCCTCTGCGACTCAGCATCTCCTTCCCTTCTCAGCAGAGCAGCACCCGAGGGACCCCTACCCTTCTATCTGATACTTGCTCAGAGGCTCCCTGGAACTGGAGGACAGGGGGTCTCCCGAGGTCATTTGGACAGCCCCCTGCCTCAGAGGTACATGGAGTGAGCACGAAGTGGGTAGGTGAGTGGGTTGAGGGGACCACTTGCACTTCATCGTTCTGTATCTAGCCCCCCCCCACCCCAGACTGGCCCAGCTGCAGGGTCTGGGGGCTTGTCCCTCCTACCCCCCAGCCCACCACCCCTGGGTGTACGCAGGGCTTAGCCCAGAGCTCATCTCCTTCTCGGCAGAGCTCTAGCACATAGCCCTGGAGCCCCAGCCGCCCTAGACTCTCTGGGGGCTCCCAGCTCACGGTCACTGAGCTGTCGCTCACATCCTCCACGGCCAGCAGCAGCGGGGCACTGGGGATGTCTGGGAGAGAAGTAGGGAGAGATGAAGAGGCCTGTGGTGGAGAGCTCTCCCCGCTCCCCTCCATTCCCTGCCATTCCCTCCCCGCTTCCCTCCTCCACCTGCCCCATCTCTTGTCACCTTCATTTGGAGGTGCAGGTTTAGTGGCTGCGGGGGTGTGGGGGCCGGTGCCTGAGGGGCGGGCTCCTATGGTGCGGGAGCCTACTCTTCCCCAGCAGACTCCGATGCTGCTGTTTCTCCAGAAGGCTCTGCGCTGGGTGCCTTGGCAGACTCAGAGGCGGTTTCCTCCGGACCACAGGCGAGGGCCTCCGAGGTGGCTTTTTCTGTCATTGCTGCGCCGGCTGAGGGGTCAGGCTGGAGTGTGCAGGGGTCAGCAGGGGTAGGTCTGGACCTCCAGGATGCCTGGGACACCTAGGCCCAGGCTTATATAGTCAGGGGCTGCCCCACCCCCAGCCAATGATGATTCCCAGCTGTGGGGTCAGGTCAGGTGGGAGGACTGGTGGGGTGGGGAGACGCCTAGGCCAGGAATAGCTCTGGGGGAGGAACTGCAGGGTCCCTTGAGGCGCGCACTACCTCGTCCATCGCTCTGATCGGACCTCGGCGGCCAGGGTGCTGGTGCCCGGATGGCAGGAGGGCGCAGATGGGTGAGATGGGACGTTGCCTCTGGAGGTTGTGCCAGGGGTCAGGGCAGTGGGAACAAGAGCTCCCATCTGGAGAAGGAACCCAGATCGGGTGTTGTGTTTGGCCTCTGTGGAGCCACTTGTACCCAGGGCTTCTCAACCTGGGTGCTGGGACCCAGACAGCCTGAAACAGCCCTCCCTGGGGAGCCCTGCCAGCTTTGCGCTGGTATTCCACACTCCCCTTGGCCTCACATTCCCTGGGCATTCTCACTTGTGCTGTGTGAGGCTGAGGGTTCTAGAGAGGGAAGGAACTGAGATGCCCAAGGTGGGGCTAGTTGGAGGAAAGTCTTCCAGAAATGGGACCCTGGGAAGGAGGTCGAAGGCTTCTGGCCACTGCTTCTGCTTGAGAGGCTGGAGAGGACACCGTCTCCGCGATCCCTGCTTGGGGCCTCAGTTTCCCCATGTAGTACAGAGAGCCCTGTGACAGTCCCCTAGCCCTTGGGAACGAGATAAAGTCACGAGGCAGAGCCGGAAGAGACCCTGGAGGAGGACAGCACTCTGAAACTTCTAGACTCTTGGCAGCAGGGCATGGGCACGGGCATTTGCAGTGGGGGCGATGAGGCAGCTGCAACCAAACGTCTAGTCATTGATTCATCCATGCAATAAAACATTAAGATTGGTAATCATTTAATAAGCCTGAAAATACCACGTGCCTGGGAGAAGGGGAAGCAACAGGAACCGCCATGGCTCGTGGGAGCGGACATCGAAGAAATCCCTTCGGAAAAAGCGAGACAGTATCTAGTAAAAGTAGACAATGGGCTTATCTGTGACCTGTAGTGACACCCCTGTAGCGACACCTTCACGCACGTACCCCCAGAGACACGCACGAAAACATTCACAGCAACCTTATTTGTAATAGCCCGCGCCTGGTGAAAACGGCTGTCCCTCAATAGCGGAATGTATCACTATTACATCATCACACAGCATCACGGGGCACAGGGGTGCGCCTGTAATCAATCCAAAATACGGAAGGAAATGAACAAACTTCAGCTGCGTGGACGATCTCACAGACATAATGGCGAACGAAAGGAGGAAAGCTCGCGGAACGGGGAGATCCCGTCCGCGTTCAGTTCAAAGGCAGGAAACCCCAGGCTCTCTTTCTCGAGGGGCTTCCATAGGTGGTGAGGCCACAGAGGAAAACAGGGGCAGTCAGGACAGGTGCCTCGAGGCAGAGGGCCGGGGAGGTTATGTGATGGTGGAGTTTCAGGAGCACTACTGAGGTCTCACTTCCTGTCCTGGGTGGTGGGTACGCAGGTTTTCACTAGTTACTCATTCTTTACATTAAACAAATACATTTTATGCACCCTTTAAAAATATTTTGTTTAATGTTTATTTATTTTTGAGAGAGAGAGGCAGAATGTGAGCAGGGGAGGGGCAGAGAGAGAGGGAGGCACAGAATCCGAAGCAGGCTCCAGGCTCTGAGCTGCCAGCACAGAGCCCGATGCGGGGCTTGAACTCAGAGACTGTGAGATCATGACCTGAGCCAAAGTCAGACGCTTAACTGACTGAGCCACCCAGGCACCCCTTATGCACTCTTTAGCATGTACGATATATCCCGTAATTTAAAAATAAATACAGGTGTCATTTATTTAGGGCCCTCAGCCATATGCATGCTCTTCCCCTAGCCGGGGCTGGCCACATAGGAGTGGGGCCGCCTTTCACGGCTGGCTGTCTTCTTTGGGGAGTGGCAGCGAAGGGTCTGGAGAGCCTCGGGGTCCAGCCCTGCCTGGGTGCCTGTGTCCTCTACCAGGTGACTCAGTGTCCTGCCAGGCAGGGGGCGGGCCCTGGAGACCCGATCCCCATCCCTGGCCTCTGACTCTGCAGCTATAAGTGAATGTGACTAACTCTGCAGGCCCCTGAGTCAGCCCTTCGGAGCCTGTCCAGGACTGGGGGAATGGTGGCTCTAGGAAGGAGGAGGGGGGTTGGCTGCCCCGGAGGGTTTTCAAAGACCCTTGTGTGAGGGGGTGGGTGAGGGGCAGGGATTGAGGGTGCCTGGCCCCCCTCTCCAACGATGAAATGCCAGGTAACCCCCTCCCCCCATTAACTCCGGCCAAGTTCTCATTTTCTTTGCCTTTAGCAGGGCTGTGACCTTGGGATCAGTTGCATTGGCCCAGCTCCAGCTCGTTCAGATTTCAAGGTGGCCAGTAGGTACTTCCTTCCCTACACCTCTAACCCGTGTCACAAACCACTAGGCCAAGTCACAAATAATTCCCTCCAAACAGGAAGGAATCCACACATAATTCTCTTTGACTTTGGAGTGTACATCTGGACTCTTGGGTAGAAGGCATGCCTGGGGCCCTGGGAATGCTGATGAGGGCATTTCTACCTCATAAAGGCGGGAAGACTGGCTTGTCTTCTGAGCCCATCACATCTCATCTATATTCCTATCCCATCTGCCTGCCACCTGCTGTCCCTGGTCAGCCTGAGCAGAGGAACCTTGGACTCTGCTTGGGTTGAGGACCGAGTGTGTCCTAAGAGGGGAAGACAATATTTGAACGGCCATCAGCCCTCTTGGGTTAAGTCCACAGCAGATAGATCTGCAGAGGCTGGCCTTCTTTGGGGACCCTCTGGAGCCCAGTGGAGGCCAGGGTAGCCTCACCTCCTACAAGCTCAGGGCCCCCAAGCCTGAAAGAAACGAATCCAGCCAGAAGAGATAAGGGAGGGGAGCCCACGGAGGGTCCCACCGGGCCACAAAGAGAGACTGAAGCTGTACCAACACACCATTAAACTCTGGTGATTTATTGAGCAGCCGCTGGGCAATTAGGAAAGGGAACTAGGAGGGGAGACCTAACATTCCTGGGTGCAGGTTTCAAGTTGGGCTTCGCTGAGGGTGTAATTACTGTGGCCGCTCCTTTGAGAGTGACGTTTGGCTCCTCGGTGGTAGAGTTGGCCAAAATGGGGTCCTTTGGGAAGGAGGCTTGGGGGTAAGGGAGTTGGAGAAGTCCCCGTGTGTGGGGCTGGGGTCATTGAGCATTTTCATAAAGCAGCAGGTGTGTGCTGTCCCCATGGCTTACACTGTGCTGGCCCCCAGGCCTTACCTGCCCGTGGCCCTGCCTCTACCTGCTTGTCCACTAGAGCTGAGCTCAGATGGCTTCACTGTGGCTCTCTGCGTGGGGTCCAAGGGAGGGAGACTGAGGCTTAGTCGGGGACTCAGAAGGGTGGGCGATCCGGCTCCCGGCCGGCTGGAGCCAAGGGGAGGGGCAGCCCTGCCCCACCGTGGGCAGGACAAGGGCTAAGCCGCAGCGAGCGCATCCTTGATGGCAGTGGTGAGAGGGAAGGGCAGACCCCGGCCACAGAAGGACCCCCGGAAGTCATCCAGATCCACAGCCCACACCATGGCACCAGCCAGCTGCCTGCTCCTCAGGTACTGAACCTGGAAAGAAAGACCCAGAGCGGGCGGAGCTGGGTTCCCTGGGCTAGAGTGTGTAGGGGGGGAACGTGCCGCCTAGGCCCCTCCCCAAGGAAGGAAAAGAGCAGGTGCCTCAGACCTGATCGTCCCCCCCCACCTCAATAACCCAGCTCCACCCTCAGTGCAGGTGACCTGACTCTGGCCGCTTGGAGAAGGGGTTCCCTCTCCCTCTTCATCCCGGGGCACAGCCTTGAGGACCTACCTTGTTTTTGACGCTCTCCTGGTCATCGTACCCCACCCACTGGTTGCCCTTGGTGGCATAGGGGACCTTCTGGGCAGAGAGTCTATGGACCGCGGCTCCCTTGAGGAAGTCACAGATCTGAGCAGAAAACGGGGCAGGGGTGGCATGCGGAGCTGTGTGAGACTTCGCAGGTCACCGAGGAGATGCCATTCTCCAAATCTCTTTCAGCCTCTTGCTTCATCCTGCTGACTACATCTGACCCCAGCACTGCCCCCCCCAGCTCAGATTGCAGTCTTTATGCAAATTTATGTAAAGCAGATGCAATGTCCTACAGTTCTGTGGTGCTGTGGCCTGAGGGCATTAAAGGGACTCTGGTTTGCTTCTGGTATTTTTTTAAATATACTTTATTGTCAAATTGGCGACCACACAGTGAGTACAGTGTGCTCTTGGTTTGGGGGGTAGATTCCCGTGATTCATCGCTTACATGCAACACCCAGTGCTCATTCCAACAACTGCCCTCCTCGATGCCCATCACCCACTTTCCCCTCTGCCCCGCCCTCCGATCCACCCTCAGTTTGTTCTCTGTATTTGAGTCTCTTATGGTTTGCCTCCCTCCCTCTCTGTTTGTAACTACTTTTTTTTCCCCTTCCTTTCCCCCATGGGATGCGAACTGGTGGAGCCGCTCTGGAAAACAGTGTGGAGGTTCCTCAAAAAACTAAAAACAGAACTACCCTAAGACCCACTAATAGGACGAGGAATTGACCCAAGGGATACAGGAGTGCTGATGCATAGGGGCACATGTACCCCAATGTTTATAGCAGCACTCTCAACAATAGCCAAATGATGGAAAGAGCCTGAATGTCCATCCACTGATGAATGGATAAAGAAGATGTGGTTTATAGATACGATGGGATACTGCTTGGCGATGAGAAAGAATGAAATCCGGCCATTTGCAGCAACGTGGATGGAACCGGGGGGTGTTATGCTGAGTGAAATAAGTCAGTCAGAGAAAGAGAGATATCGTATGTTTTCATTCAGATGTGGAACTTGCTTCTGGTAT